CTGATGGCCTGGTGCCCTGCATCCTTCTTCAGGTGCACGATGAGCCGCGTCCATGACTCCTCCTTGTCCCACTCGAAGCCTGCCAGGAAGGGCAGTTCTAGCTCATCGTCGGCCTGGTTGAACGAGCACGTCAGTCATTTGTTCAGAGGATACATAGCCGATGTGGGACAGACAGGGGAGAACACGCACCCTCTTCTTGAACTGCTTGTGGATCGCGTCTAGGGCGTCCTTGATCGTTACGCCCTTGAGGTTCCGTGCCGTTACCTCGAGGCCCAGCGGGAAGTGCAGGTCAATCTTCTTGACCGGGGGTGTGGTGAGCAGCTTCTTGAGGTAGTCCTTCTCTTCTACCGTTGACGGTGACGTGTTGATCTTCCTGCATGACCGGGTGGCGTCAGCAGGCTGGTTCTCTGGGATTGGATGGTTGGCAGGCACAATGCCACTTACCATCCCAGCTTCTGGGTCTCCTTGGCGATCTGGAGCTCAATGCCTGCCTCTTCTGTGCTGGGTGTTAGTCGGTGCCAATAGGGGGACGGTGGAAGCGGATCGGTCGGAAGTGGCAGGTCGAGGGAAGGGCTGTACAACTGACGACTTACCCAGGTCATTGATGTTCATCACTCCAGCAGCACTGGAGCTTGCCCGGCGGTGCTTAGTCTCCTTGGGCGGTGATGAAGAGAGGCCTTGGACGGCGGAGTCGACCTTTGTGAGAGGTTCTGACATGTTGAAGATTGGGGTTGGTATGGTTGTGTTGGTAGTGGTGGTGTGCTGGGGAACGAAGCGCAGGCTACGTGTAAGTACAGTGTCCAGCAGCGGCAAAAGGGTCCACACACGACGGAATTGCCAAGTACCTTGATGGGCTTGCTGTCCGTCGTGGAAGCAAGTGTTGGCTGTGAGTGATGGTTGATGGTTGATGATGATGCTGTTTGCAGGCGGTGGTGGTGGTGGTGGTGGTGTAGGAGGGTGCCAGTTGGACAAAGAGAGGGGAAGGGAGGAGAGCAGATGAAGGCGAGCTGCGGGATGGGAGCTGGGTATTAGTCGAATTGATGAAGGCAGGCAAGAGCGCGGAACGGCATTGTTCCTGCCAATCCATTCCTTTGGTCTCCCCATGGACTGTTTCGTCAGACCGGGCGGGGTAATTGCTCCCAGAGATCACGTTGACTGTTCTGGTCGATCGCGTGACGAGTACATCATCATGGCACGACGCCGCAGAACTCCTCTCCTGACCTCGTCCAGCCCATGTACCTGGCTCGAGCGCCCTGCATCCAGCTACCGTCGGCTGCCTGGGTGGTGCCACTACGCTCCGCGACGGGCGCTAGGCTATCCGGACAGGACAGGGGCCGCAGCTGCCTATGCCTGGATGGGCGGGAATCTGGGGAAAATCCGGGGTAGCTTGCTCGACCGACCCACAGTTGTTCAGCCACCAATCCTCGGTGAGTCGGGTCAAAAAGGACTAACAAGTCATGTCTGTGCTGCGTTTGAGTTCAGAGACTTGCTTCATATTTTTTGCAAGACTTTGCATGTTTGATGTGTCGCTTCCGGGGAGCTGCGGCCTCGGGGAGAAGGTGGAGTGACAAGCAGCAACATCCGATGCTCTTGCCCTGTGCTTCCACTGCTCTTTCCGGCTGAGCATTTAGCGGGGCCAGGCGTTGGTGGGGTGGTCGCTAAGCTCGACCTTGTCCACGCTACGGGTTCCAGGTTACGGGTGACCTGTCAGTCAGCAAGCCAGCCCGGTAGGTGCCGCACTGCAGCAGTGGACAGGAGCCACAGGAGAACAGGCCCGCGCGCGCCGGGAGCTGAGCTGACGAAGGTCCAGACGTGAGCTGTCAATGGAACGATGAAAATTGGAACACGAACACAGCCATCGATCAATCTTTCTGAATTGTACAACAGTAGTTTGCTCCCCTGATGCAAACACCCACCTTTCTTTCCCAATTTTTATGGCATACTCGGTCTTCAAGCTTCCTTAGAGCAAAGCAATCGAGCTGACAAGCCGTCGGTCTTCCTGCGCATCCGAAACGAGAAGCGATCTTTGCACGAATCAGGCGAGATGAGCGACGTCAATAATTGGAGGCGTTGGTCATGTGCGCGGGGTTCCACCAGTCTAACAGCCAGCACCGACCCTGTGCTCTCTCCCCCTCTCATCTCTGCCGACAGGCTGCGACCCGTGCGACCGTTCCATGGCTTAACGTGAAATTATGCTGCTGGAGGACAAGCTTTCGGACCCCGCTCTCGAGGCATCCAGTTTTGCCGGCCGACAAGCTTTGGACTTGCGTCGACGAGTCGCATAGTCCGCCATTCTAGAGGCTCAGGGATCGACCCAAGCTCGGCCAAGATACCTAGTAGGTGGCGAGGTGGCCGGCATTGCATCATCGCCGGAATCACCACTCTGCTCTCACGCTTCTCTCCTCGGGGGGCTTGCCGTGGAAAGAGAATGGTTCTTGTGCATGCCGCGGATCCCCAATGTCGACATCAACAAGTCCCCATCAAAATCAACACGCTCGACGGCTAAGCTGGCACGAGGAATGTGTCAAATCCCACATCGTTTCAGGGTTCATGCAAGATACGAGTCTGCACGATCCTCTATGAAACACTCATCCACACCTTGCTTTAAACCAATAATTACTTAGTTGGGGTGGACAAGCAGTTTTAAACTCAGGTGCCTGTCGGTTCACGATGTACGAGCCAAAGGATTGGCGAGCCCGGCAGACAGCCCTGGAGTTCCTCCGCCTGTTGGGGTGAGCATATCGCCATCGCGCCAATGGATCAAACCACAAGGGATCGCTTCTCCTGGCACTGGCACTGAGTCGGCCTGGGTTGTAAAATACTCGTCTTGCGTGGCTTACCGGCCATGAATCCTCCAAATCGCGAGATTCAAAGCAGATGTACCCGCCGGAACATTGTCCACGAGCCTGTCGTCGAAAGGGCCCTAAGATTGTTCCTTCTCTCGCTCCGGCCTCTGGAGACGTAGACTGCGTTTGACTATGGAATTATTCAATCATATGTCGGCGTGTCTCGGCAGCGTTCTTGCGCCTCCATTCCGGCGTAGAACAACTTTACAACAGTTTCTATGCAGGGGAGTGGATAAGCAGAACTGGAGAGGAATCCGGCACGAGATCGACCTGGTCCGGCCGCGGGTGCGGCCCGTCTCGACGATCCCCGGAATGGGAACACGAACGACTACCACTTTACCCCAAAGTATCTCACGAGAGCTGGATATCGCAGGATACTCTCTTCGATGCTGGAGTTGCTACTTCGCCAGCCACCATGAAAATGATTGATTTCCCTGGAGCGGAGAATGCCGAGCAGCTCATCTGCCACACCAACCCTGTTGTCGAGTTAACTGAAGAGATCCCAAGATGAAGCCTCAGAACCAGTGTCTATGGTGAGTATAAAAGCCGTTCTGCACATGCATCCTCTATACAAGGGGCTAGGACAGCACTCACCAGCATCCCAAGACCGCCAAGCACACCAGCAACAATGCGATACATTGCACCGGTCCTCGCCCTGGCGGCCTGCGCCCTCGCAGACCCGCTCCAAATCAACGATGCGGATTTCCACAACCGCGTTGCTATGACTGTTCTTCAACGCCTCACCAACTTGACAGCGGAACAGCTGATGATGAACTTGATTGAATCTGGCGAGCAGAGTCTCAACGACCTGATGGTGCGAATGATCATGGATTCAGACGGCCAGGACCATTTCAACATCACCGACGCCGTGTCCCGCCTGCAGGACACCCAGAACGCCGACAACGTCATCGTGCCATGGCCCCTCTTCCAACAGAGCCTTGCCTGCACTTTGGCCACTATCCAGAACAACCCGCTGGTCGATCAGCTGATATATCTAGTCACAATGGAAGTCAGATGGCTCGGCAGTCCTGCCAAATGCTCAGACCAGTTCGAGGGCAGCAAGGGAATCCTTCAGTACTTCATCGACAAGGGCTACACGGGCCCAAACACTGGCATCTCATTTTCCGCAGCCTCCCTGATCGAGGGGATTCAGCGCGGCGCTGCCCTCGTGCTCGACACTACCAACTCGACTCTGGCCTCTGCCGGGTCTGTCACGGACACGTTCGGTAACCCCAGCTCGGTGCTGTGGCAGACATTTATCAACGGCGTCAAGAACGGCCTCCTCAAGGACCGCGCCTCGCACGACAAGGCCTGGTCGCTTGCCCTGCAGCCCAGCCTTAACTATGCCAACACCAAGGCCGTCAGCGCCGGAATTACGCTGAACGTCAATTTCAAGCGCTGGTTCAACCTTATCCAGGCCTATACCCTTTTGCAGCAGGCCGAGGGGTCGATTAGAAATGTCTTCAGCCTGTAAGTGCTCTTTGTTCCCGCTCTGAAACCTCAGGCACAGCATGCTAACATGACATGAAATAGTGTATCCCTGCCGCTGTTCTCGATCCTGCCCTCGGGGCTTTTCGGTTGACAGGTTCGTCAACTGGATCTTCGACGTCACCAGCCCGAAGCCCTGTACTGCCTATCCGATGCCGCCTGGACAAACACCGACTTTGACCACCTCGGCTCTGCTGTGGAGCTTGACCTCGTTGACCAAGATCCTGCCTGCTTTTCTGCAGTGCTTTTCGATTGGTTGCCCGTCATAAAGGCTCCACTCGTTGCGCACTGGTCTCTGCTACACGACCTGACTGGGTGGCGTTGGTGTCGACGTAGCTGCTGGTGAGGTGGGACATGGGGCCAAAAGGCCAAATGGAAAAAGGGGATGCTGGGTCAGGACTCAGGAGGAGACTATTCTGATAATGGGCGGTGGGTTCAAGCAATTTTGTCTCTACACATATCTCTGGAGAGCAGAAACACGGCAAAAAGACGGGATCTGGAAAAACCCTTTATGGCCAAAAAAAAAAAAGTTTGGGCATTATGGATTAGTAATAGGTCACTTGGTAGTGGTTGTCAAGCGGACTGAAAATCACGTTGGTTGTGGAGTGGTGCGGCTTGTCGGGCTACTCAAAGCCGTCTAGCAGCTGAGCTTAGCATCAAATCACAGCCGTTATAGTATAGTGGTCAGTACTTCCGCTTGTGGCGCGGACAACGTAGGTTCGATTCCTGCTAACGGCATCAACCGTTTCCTTTTTGCCTCTCTTCTCGTTACCAAGCCTACATGCATGCAGATTGTTGTTTCTTTTTGTTCGTTGCTTGAAAGCGCGGCCAGGTCATGCACAGTGAGTTGGGAATGGAATGGGAGACGATAATGGAAAGCCTTTTGTGGGGCTCGTGTCGGGGTCAATGACAGCGGGTGGATATTGCATGGGAACGTGGGCGCACTTTGGAGGTGCAGACCCGCTCAGATCATCGCTGACACAGTGCAGTCACTGGATGTGTGCTTTGCTCCAACGAAACTTTGTCGTACAATACCTGGGAATTACCGGCTACCTATACATACATGTACATATTGGGAATGCTGCCAGCCATCCATTCCTTTTTCTCTGCTCCCTGTCCAAAGTGCGCTAGGTCGTTGCGCGGTGGCCAACATAGGTGCTTCAAACTCAAGCTCCTCCCCAAGAGTGACGGATTTCCACGCCGTTGGTATGCACGTCCGACGGTTCCTGTCAAGTCTCAGCCAAGACCACCAGGGCACGATGGACAGAGTCAAATAGATGCGATAATCTCACCTTGACTCAACTCATTATAGACCGTGTACTAATCATCTCGTCAACACTCTCCATCAATTCTCGCTGGCGACATATGCGATGCGCTACTCCCATCTTTGCTAATGTCGCATCAGGTTCAAGATACTCCTCGACGAAGGAGCCTAGAAGGAAAACCCTGGTTGCCGTCGGGATCAAAAAGGCGCCGATGAACGCAAAGATGCTGACGGCTCGCGAGTCTTCCCCCTAGGAATTGTCGGCACCCGTGGCGACATGGTGGGTGCTTACGCATACCTGAAGGAAGACAGTAAAACTTGATAGAAATTTGGTATTAGCAGACGCTTGATTCGGTGCCAGCTTCGGACGACGGGGATGCTTGTAGAAGTGGAAGTGTTGGATGTTCATGGCGAGTGGCAGTGGCATTGGATAATAAAGCTATGAAGATAGTTACAAGCTGTGGGTTTGGATGATGGGTTTGGATGATGGGTTTGGATGACGGTTATTTGAGTGGTAGATACATGTAATTGCTTCTCTTGCTTCTCCTCCTGCTCCTCCTTCTTCTCCTGCTCCTCCTTCTCCTCCTGCTCCTGCTTCTCCTGCTTCTCCTGCTTCTCCTGCTTCTCTTGCTTCTCCTGCTTCTCCTGCTTCTCCTGCTTGTCCTCCTGCTTCTCCTGCTTCTCCTGCTTGTCCTCCTGCTTCCTCCTCCCCCTCTGCTTCTCCTCTTCCTCCTGCTTCTCCTCCTCCTCCCTCCTTTATCTCCAACTCGTCTTCCTCCTCCCCCTCCATCCCCCACCCACCATGCTTCTCCTCCTCCTCCTCTCCCCCCCCCCCCCCCCACTATTCTCTCCACTACCACCTCCCACACAGCGGGGCTGGCCGGCGGGGACACCAGGGCGCAATCCAAGCCAGCCGCTGCGCACCCAGCTTAGTTGCTGGGGCAGGCAGACTGGATGGATGGCCGAACGAGTAGAGGCGGCGCTTATTCGTCTTCCTCTTCTTCTTTCCCGATGAATCGGGCAGCCTCCTCCTCGTCCGGCACACCAGCCCCGGCGACCCCACCTCTCCCACCCACCCCGGTCAGCCCCGGCCATGGCACTTATAGCAGATCTTCTCCTGGCCGGCCGGTGCGGCAACCGAGGCCTGTCTCGGCTACCCCTCCTCACCCACCCACCCCGGCCAGCCAGGTATCTGCTTTGTTTTCGTTTTGTTTTTTTGTTAACCGGTGGGCCACTGAAGCTGGTCAAGCCAGCCCGTGCTCCCAGCCTTTTTCTTTTTGTTTTGTTTGTTTTCTTGTTTTGTTTCTGTGGCTGGGGCAAGCGGACTGGCTCTTGATTGCTGTTGTGTTTGGGCGAGGGAGGAGTGCCGGAACCCTTTTTTTGTGTCACAGCAACTCGTCACCCCGCCCGGACCAGCCTCGGCAGCCCCCTCACCCACCCTCCCCGGTCAACTGATGTTATGTCTGCCTCTTTCTGTGTGTGTGTGTGTGTGTGTGTGTGTGATTTCTTGTCTTGCTATCGATGTGTCATGTGTTAGCCTTGATCATTGCGAATTGATGACTTCGGAAAGGATGGATGAGTTACCTACCTGATGTGGAGCCTTCTCTTGGATTGGGTGCGTTGCGATGGACTTGATGGTCTGGAAGAAATGGGTGTTTGGTTGATGCATGATGGCGTGTGAAGTGTTCGACCTTCTTATCCTTGATGTCGATGGTAGATGCAGAGGAGGAGATGTTTGTCTGGCTGGAAGTGTCGACGAAGGTTTGTTCGCAATTGGTTTTGGAGGGTTTGCAACTTTGTGGTGATTCAGCGCCTGAGCAGCTGGGTTGCTTGCCGGATCGACTGGGTTTTCCGTGGTGCCGAGACCCTTTGATTGACCAGCCAAAGCTTGAGACGTGATGTATCAGGTAGGAATGTGTTGTGAAGATCAAGTGTATGCAGAGGCATGTTCAGGATTGTTGAGCTTGGCGGTCTTCCAATCAGTCCTGAAGCAAGACTGTGACCCGAAAGCGACTGGATGGATCTGGTTGATGAGAACATCCTTGTGATGGAAGTTAAGATCGATGATGAGGGGAATAGGATAATGAACTGCCGCTGAACATCTCAATCACGCTCAAGCGCTATTGCTCGCTGAGGACAGACTCGCTAGGCTGTCATCTTGTTGTCCGAGGCACGAGAGCCAGATGTGCTGAGTGAATCTTCTTGGGGATTTGGGAATTGTCCTGACGCAAACCACATCGTAGAAAGTTGGTTTCAATTGAGTGGGTGGATTGGTGCAAGACAATCTCAGCTGCAGGCGGTGCATATTCTCCTTGGCCGTGACACAGTGACAGTGATTGGCATAAAGCCGAGAGAGAGACCCGGGAGCAGGATTAGAGTTGGAGAGGATATTGAGATGAGAATGTGAAGCGGTGGAGGAAGTAGAGGGGTGATGAATAGGCTGCTGTTGAACAAAGGTCAAAGATCTGCCGCGTGGTGTTTTGAATGTCGGAGATGCTAATCAGTGCCTGAGATGTTTGACTGGAAATGGCGTTGGAATAGGTATGTCCGCCAGGATGATGCCGACGAGGTTACCAATATGCTTTTGATGAGTTAGCCGCTGAGCATGAGGATGAGAATATTGGAATGCAGTTCAATGCACTCTCTTTAGAGAGCTCATCTCACGTACCATCATAAAAAGTCTCGAAGGGGCGAGAGCCTCGAAGAGATGTCTCATTGGGCGTATGGATGTGGATTTTGCGCGGCAACGCAACTGAACACGGAGACGACGGCGAGGACTCCGACCGTAGATCTTCCCCGTGGCCTTAGTGTGCTGCCATCTCTGTTGTCCTGGCCAGGCTTGAAGTCACACATTCCGTGTTCCTTCCAGTGTTTTCTGGGATCGCCGTGACGTTGGAAACGAGACAAGCTTGAACCTGTTAGCATGTGCCGACACTGTGGGAGGCCTTCAGTACTTACAGTGATGAAAGGGATTTCTGTGGCCTTCGTCCTTGACCATCCCTTTAGACCTGAGGAGCATTCCAGTGGAGGGCACTGATGCCGCCATCGGGGCTATGGCTGTGGAAGGTTCATCGTCTAGGTGATTCTGATCTGTCAGCTTGACCTATCGAGAAAACCTCTGGGAATGAAGTTTCGCTGAAAGGGAGGTTTTCCCGATCGGAAGCCTTCGCAGGAGAAGGACCGAAGGTGATATGGAGGAAATCTCAATTGAGCCGCGGGCAGTGAGAGGAGGGAAGGAAGAGCGGAACGCGAAGAAGGACTGCCCGAAATAGTAGAATGGGAATGGGAGGAGGATAGAAGTGATGATGGCATTTTGAATGCGGGCGTGAGAGTTTATCACGAAGGCCCAGGTGCAGGGCGACCGAGGAAGGTCGGGAGGAAGGCGAGAGGGCAGAGGAAGTGGAGGTGGAAAGAAAGAAGAAGAGATCAACGTGACTTACCTCATTGACTAGACGCTCCTATAATCATGGCAAGACCTGCTATCCTCTTGTGAAGGAAGAGGTGCGAGCTCTGGGAAGAAAAGAGAGACGGTCGGAGGGAGGAGTGTGTGTGTGATGATGAAAGAAGAGAAAGAAGTGGGAAGTCGAAGGAGAGGGAGGAGCGATTTCGTAGGCAGCCGAATAGTGTGTGGGTCTTAGGGCTTGTGGGCCAAAGGAAAACGAGAAACTCAATATTGTCTCGCAGATAAGGTGCTCCGTACCTAGGTATTCAAACAAGAAACCTTCCCGGGTCTAGAGCATCAACTGGAAGGTTCCATGGCAATGTCCGGCATAGAGATAATAGCAGGGTAATGCCTTGGAACCTGATGGAACTGTTATTGTGACCTTCTGGATCAGTATTGAAGACCGGGGCACGATTGATTTGCCTTGGAAGCCCATCCCTTGGTAGCACTGCGGAGGGGACGCGTCAGGCTGGTTCGCGTTGATACCCGCGGGAGGGAGGAAGGAGCGTCTCAGTGGTACCTGAAGTAGGTTCTCGTCTAGAGGCTGACGACTCGCGGGGGGGCCTGCTGCTTTAGCCTTGGAGTGATGGCCCTGACAAGGCTCGTGACCGCGACGCCCACCACTATGAGGGTCTCCACCGCCAGCAAGCCGATCCAGATCCCGTCGAGGATCTCGTTCTCGTCCCCGGAAAGAACAGCAATTATGTTGACCGTCATCCAAGTGGCCGATGCTTGAACCAGCTCCTTCTACATAGATCGTCGACGTTAGTAGCCATCGTGAAATAGGTAAGGTGTCAGGTATTCAAGGGCGTGCGGCCTGGGCGGCGAACAAAATGAAATTAGGGCTCCTCTTACGGAAGTTCACTCCTTTCCAAGTTTTTCTTCGACTCCAATCCCTTCCTTGGTTCCTGAATCTTTGGTCACCCAGTTGTAACTAGGGGCTAGTAGACAATGTGCCAGATGATTGTTCTGCAACAAGCCAATACAGAGGCTTGTAGGATGCCCGAGGTCTAGAGTCTGAAAGCAATTACA